TGCATAAGTTATTGAATGTTGAGTTGAAAGAACTAGCTGCAGCACCCTCAGTTGAAGCTACTGAGCAGATGCTGAATAAGTATGCGACCACATTTGGCTAACCACAAAGAAACGTCGGTACCTAATGAACTTTTGCTTATCCGTCCGTTTGTACCATCAACCTCTGCGCTATTGTTTACACACCTCGCCTAAAATATTTACTAATACAATTTGCCTACTCGCAAGTAGTCCAAACGTAGATGTCGATTTTCGTGGTTCAGTTTTCAGAAAAATACGTGTTGAATATTTCAGTGTGATACAAATTTTAATAAATGAAGTGTAAGTTTTACTATTTGATCACAACTAATATTCATCTAGAAATCACCATAATTTTAATTCCTCATAACAAATTTAGCCACATTATACTTTGCGAAAATATTTCTCGATCTAAGTGTGCTGAGACGACGGCAAACAATTTCCAGCTACCCACATACCAAGGGTTACTTCTTCTTGAAGTACTTGAAGAAGAAATTGTGTTTGTAATAATTGTGAGTGACCGCATAGCTTATTTTGGAATCACCTGAGGCTGTTCACATACAATCTTTTCGTAAGTTTAAGATTTTACTTTGATTATCTTAACCCTGTCTAGAAAAATCATACCTCCAGCTCTTAAAGACTTAAGGGAAGCAAGGAGTGTGTTGTTTTGGCAGCCAACTTTTCTACCTGTCTTTTCCATAGAGAATGTAGTATCAGTATGGGGTTCTGACCATCCAAGAGATACTGCATACTGATACTGATCATAATAGCGCACTTTTTTGCACGGTGATGGTAACTGATTTTAGCCTTAACACTAATTAGTTGACCTTTGGGTATGTCAGGGCCTTAAGGAAAAAGTCATTCCATCAGCGTAAATAGTCAGTCCACTGAGATATCTAATTCTAACCACCATACCAAGATAGCAGCCATCGATCTACACTATCTGGTGTTACCTATCATCATAGCACTTCTTCATCTTTAAATGGTGCAATCTTTAAGTAGACTTTATAACGTTTTCTTTATTTACATGTAAATTGATTCGTTAGATAATGAAGCTCTTTTCACTACATATTTTGCCAATTCATATTCATTCCAACCAAGCAACTTAACCTTGTAGTCCTATCATTTCATCGTCAAGTGGACAAGCCATTGATGTTGGTTCAATTATTTCTTTATCTTAGACTGCATTCGTCAGCTGCATCTAATATCTACTGACTTATTGGAATTGTATAATTCTAATTGTTCGTAGTAGATTATAAAGTCAATCACAAGATAAAAGGTTAGCTATTTCAATACCTGTTTTATTAGTCTATAAGAAGTAACCTCAGATAACCGTTTGACTATTAAAAAATTACTGGAAATCGAACAGTAAGTAGAGTATTTTTTGTCCTCAACCCTAAACATTTTTTCCATTTATCAGTATCAGCTATAAAACTCCTGGACTATTCAGTGATTCTTTGGGCTCTTTTATTTGTTATTGCGTGTAATCTCCTGTCGTTGATTGGACTGAACTGATTGGCCTCTGGTGAGTCTGAAATGGGATGAAACACTTATTCTGGATTTCACTGCTAGCCACTATCCATTATTAATGTCAAACTGATCTTGTCAGACTTTAAAACAATGTACGCGAGTTCATTGGTTAGTTCTTTTGACTTTTATCAACTACTAACCATTTGGAACGACTTAAAATCTTGTTTTATACTTCTATCAACCATCACAAAATACTTTGTTAGCCCTAGCTAGTGTGAACTCCTATTGAGATGCTTGAATATCTTTCTCTTAAAAAGGTATTGGACCTCGTGACAGGATGAAACCACTGCGTAACTCTAAAGGCCATCCTAACAACAAGTGAAATAGCCAATTAAATTTGGATGTTTCTGTAGAGAAGGTGGAAAGAGAAAGCAAACTAGTTACTTCAGTAGTTGTTAGAGTGGCCTTCGGAGGCACTCAAAGCGTTATCTAGTGCACCCTTATCCTTTGCTTTTCTCAAAACTGATACCAGTTTGTGGCAAATAAAGTTTTTAGGGTCACCAAACTTCTGCTATCCCGTAACGTAAAAAGATATAGACGTAACTGGGAGTTTAGTTTATGAAAGAGATTGTTTCTTTAGTCATTTACAAACTTATTCGTACTTACAGAAGGATGATCCATTCATTCATATCACTTACTATTACATGAATCAACTAATAGGAAATGGTCAAATGGACTATATTATGGTCGATCATCATATATGCTAGATCACATTACTTAATATTCAGAAATATCATCATGTTTGTTAGTTTATGTATTTGTGTATGTACGAGGTAGGGAAGGATGAAAAGGCCGAAAGTAAGAAACAACATTATTATTATCTGATCACTCTTATGCGCATCACAAAACCAAAATGTATGTTACCTTAAGATTATTGGATTAACACATAGGGTTTTCCTTTAATTCAGAGTTGAAAAATATGAATATCATGTGATTGAACAGAAGAAAGTACATTTCCTCTTACCATTGTAGTTATCATTGCTACTACCAACAGACTTTCGTCTTCTCCCAGTACTAGCTGTTTTCTATTCTGTGTTTTACGTTCAAACAAACAAAAAGACATAAAAGTATTTTGATCAGGTTGAATTGTTATCATCACCGTGATTTTTGAAGTGCGAGACTACAGTAGATTAACACAAGATAGATGCTTAATTTTTGATGTGGTTAGTTTAACAAAAGAAGCTATATTCAAGATTCGGTCGGATAGTTGGTTTTGCCAAAGGAAAAATAGAGTGGACAGCTTTGTTACCTGCATTATATCCATTCGTCCCTCCTATATATGATGGCGGAAAAAGCTGAAGTTTGGAATTCATGATGACTAGTGACTAGCAGTGGAATCTAAGAAGCCCCTTTCGTCGTATTTGATACCCGTCAGCTTGGTGTACCTGCCTCTCAGTGTGTGATGTTGTTCCCACTAAGACACGAACCCGGGACCCGTCGCTTCAAACGCCAGAAAGTAGTCTACTAGGCCACTAAGTCACTCACTGAGAGGCAGGTACGTCCGGCTGGGAAGTCTTAAAAAGAACAAAACGTACATCTCGGATTCCACTGCTAGCCACTATTCATCATCAGTGTTGAAATATTCAATTACTTTATAAATCTACGACTTTATATTCGACGGTAAACTGTATTGTACAAAACGACATGGTTCAAGCAGAAAATCATCCTATGATTGTCAAAATTTACTTTCGTTTATAGGATGAAATAAAACTATTATTCACCGTATGTAGACCAACCCTTGTAGTGACTTGCTGCAGACCATTATCATCAACAATGAATCCAGATTAGGTCAATTTCTTCAGTGTCTAAATCTGACCAGTTTATTAAGTACATTGGATTTTGGTCGAAATCTCTATGTAAATTTAAAAGTATACCTCACCCTCTTCTTTATGATATTAATGTATCAGCATAATATGATAAGTATGCCGAATATAGTGAGTAGTTTCATCAAATTAATGGTCAAATATGCATCAGCTCTAACATGGTAACAAAGTGACCAATTCATGCACAGAACATGCCTAGACATTAATATCCCTGAAAAGCCTAGTTTCAAGGAGAAATTTTATATTACTGAACTTCTTTACCATAATTTTAGTAAGAAGCTGGGACAACGGTTGCTAATTTTGTACATTTCAGTCTACTTAAAGATCGCTTGGCATGAAAAACAAAGTGTTTAAAATTTATTCATTTTTATGTATATTATATCACTAAAAAATACAACTTGACAGCAGAATTTGCATTCATAATACAGATAAACGAATAGTGAGATTTAGATCAAGAGGAAAGAAACAACAATTACGATCACTACGTCAATAATTTCCAAAGGAAACAATAAATAACATCATTAGAAGAGTATATTGGACAAAATTACCAATATCATTGATTTTATTGACATGTAGCAAGTTTATTTTATGCTGTTTTTTTTATCATGATGATGATAATATTATTTAGAGATCCAGCATCAACTTAAACCAAAGATAAATGGGTTTAACTATGTCTTAGGAAGATAAATACATACACTAAATTTAAAAGTATTTTCCCAGATTAATTGGAAATTTTATGTACAAATAAGGGTTGGTACTGATTCAACTTAATAAGCTTTATAATCAAATTGCCATTGTAATTTATCATTGAAATAGATTTGATGAAACGTTGACTCCCACTATTCAAAAATACTTGAAGTATTAAAACAACATAACTAGAAAATTAGTAATTCACTTCAAGCAGTAATCTCCGTCAAACACTTTACGAAATCACTAAAATATTATATGAAACAACAAAAGAAAAAAATTTAAGCCGGAGAGGGGATAAAAAACAAATACACAAATAAGTTCATGCAATTTCATTTTGCAGATTGATAGGTAGGTGAGTTGGCAGATCAATAAACATAATAAAGATTCATTTGAGTAATATCAACGACAATTGTAATTTACTTTGCCACTTGTTCAGCAGTATACTGACATCATTAAAATATCTTGAGGAATAATTTATCAGCAGAGTATGTGGTAAACAAGTTTGTTTCTCGGTTAAAACTGTAAACAAATGACTGACATCTCGTTTTATGTAAAAAAACTTTATAGCATACATATTTTGTTCACACCAAAAATAACTTCACTGTGGGGAAAAAAATAGACAGACAAGGAAATGTTGTCTCTTCTTGTGAAACTAAAGCAACCAGCAAGATTGTGCAGAGTATGAACGAATAATAATCAAACAGATAAATAAACAAGGCACTTCGTATAAATAACTCAACTTACAGAACAAAATAAATGTCGAAATGATGAAGGAAAATAGAAAGATGAAGCAGAAAAAAGTGAAGCTTAAAATGGGATTGTCTTGTTCAAAAGAATTCAGTCACCCTTTTCACTATTCTAACTACAAACATACTTCTATGGAAGACGCACTTTTGTTTTCGATACTAATTTAATTGGTTTCTAATGTTACAGTCCCATTGTTTATACATTTATTTTTTGTGCAATACCACGATCATTGTTGTCATTCGTTGTATTTGTATCAGTAGCAATAGCTGAAAAATCTTTAATTGTCAAATTTGTAATCGTCGGAGCTGATGAACAATCCGAAGTATTGCTGTTCGTTTCTTCAGTTATAATTAAAACAGACTCGTGTTCACATGTAACAGATTTTATTTCGATGCCTTCTTTAATCTGTTTTTCTGGCGGTGTTTTGTTTGTTTTTTGCTGTTTATTATATTCTGCATCTGATAAAGATGATGACGCGGAGGAGGAGGATGAGGAGGATGAAGGCGATGATAATGTGTCTAAACGATTAGTTGGAGAATTCAGTCTATGGTTAATATGAACATGCAGTGTAGGTGGTGATGAAGCGGAGTAACATACAGAATCAGAAGGATTTATCGAATTATTTATCAGAATCATTTGATTGTCGTTGTTTTCCTGACTGTCATCGGATGCTATTGAATTATCTTCCAATGGGATATTCATCACTTCATCTTCACCATCTACTTTCGAAGTTTCCACTAAATTATCGTTACTTGTGGTGCTATTGTAATTAGATGTTGACAATAATACAGTTTTAATACATTCTTGGTTAATTTGTAAATGAGATGAAATGAGACTGGATACAAATTCTGTTTCATTCTCATTTTCAGTTTTAGGGATACTCAAATCTGCATACGGTTGCGATGTGAATGAAAGTGGTTTTGGTTTGAGCAGAAATGGTTGGAGAGACAAGGCGGCATCACTATCACTAATACTAGCAGCAATTGTAGCAACATTGGAAGGGGTGTTCACTGTAGTTGTGGGCGTGGATGTTATAACATTGCCACTATCTGCAACTGCTGAAGTTGCAGCGGCCACAGCTGCTGCCACAATAGCTGCAGCAGCTGAAGGATCTGTAGATGAGTCAGGTGCTAATGGGGGCGTAGGCTTCGGGAGACCACTGGATGTAGAACGTGCACGCTTATTGGCAAACCACTTTTTCACCTGAGTAAATGCAAAAATAAGATTGATTTGAAGTGCATTCATGTTTCCATTAAGCGTTCTACAGAGAGGTAGTGAATGTTAATTTTAGTGAATATTAATTCTACCAGTTTTCAAGCGCTTTACAGAGAATTAGTCTGGACCACTGAACTTAAAAAGTAAAGGCTCAATAAGTAAATGTAGTGGAGTCACTTGGTGTTTTTTCTACATAAACTAAATCCAAATACTTAAGTTTAAAAGTCAGAGAGTTAAACAAGAAGGCCTCGATCATTGGTTTATCGTTACTTAAGGTACACAGGCTTTTACGGCCTGGCAGAGTTCCTATTAATAAACAATGGTCATCATCCACTACAAGTATGACCTTAAAAAAGGCAAAAGTTTTGGATGAATAATCCCATTAGTGTAAACTATGAGAAGTAGGTGGTATTATCAAAATCTGGTCAACTGTCAAGTAAAAACAAATTTCCTTAATTATCTTTCATAATACACCAGACATGAATAAAGTGATTTCGATCAACGATCAATCTTTTTTAAAATAATCTAATAAAATTAAAGGTAAGAGAGTTGACACCATATTATTATTTTATTCCATCTCCCCCATTCAACAAAAAAGGTTTACCCATCTTTTCCTAAACATTCACTCCTATCTTTTCATTCCTTTCTTCTTCTCTTTTTCTTCCCTTCTCTCTCCCTCCTTCCCTCTATGTGAGACTATCCCCCTTCATATACTTATAAATTATTGAATCTTACTAGCCTCCAATTATAAGCATTGTCATATGCATAATACTGCGTAAATTGCAAAACTTAAATGAACTGGTTTTCAGAAAGACACTAAAATTGAGTAAAAAAGTTAGAACTCTATGATTGATTATTGTTCATTAAGAATCTACTGCGGAAGAAGTGTTTTATTTATTCGATATAATATATATGTGAATTCAGCAACATGGCGAGGAAGAAAACCATAGTAAACAATTACATGTAACAGATCAGAACTTCCTCTTCTTTATACACATGACATGTAGTCGGCATCGTTTAATACAAATGTAACTTATGTGACTAGCCTTTACAATGAATTCATCAAATTATTATGTTTTTCCCAAAAGTGATAAGCAGGTTATAGTGTGAATACACTATATACATCCTTTAAACTAAGATCAGACTACCATTCCATTATGTTAGCCGAATATAACTTATAGCTTAACGAATTCACTGAAGGACGCATATATTTCATATCAGTTTCCCTTAGATGACTATAAGTTTAGTGCTTCTTAAAAGTTAAACACGGTAAACCGCATACATTCAATATGTAAACCAATAGTTTTTTTCCTAATTTTATAGGCGTATAATGTTGGGGGAATTTAAAGGTCACCCTAGCAACGATTGAAATAACCAATTAGGTTTCTTCATTTCAGCCAGAAGGGCAGGTTTTCATAAAGTGTAATTGGTTATTACAGTTGTTGCTAGGGTGGCCTTTAAAGTTACTCTATAATGTTACTGATATATCTGGGTGAAAAATTTTGATCGAGAAGGATTACTTGAATTGGTTGGGGAAAAAACACTGTTGTCACTCTCATTGGCTGGTTGTACACGTTACACACTATGTGTACCCTTTTTACAGATGGTACATTTTCCAATGTTCAATGAAGATATCAGAACGATTTCTGCTATAATAACAAGAATACAAATCACTATTATTATGGAGTTCAAATATTGATTGAGGTAAGGTAGTGAGTGGTCAACTAATAAACAGAACCAAAGAAGCATGCTAGTAAGTGATCAAACTAACTGAACATCATCTGCAAAGCATATTGATCAGTGTGCATGTGTGATAGGGTTCCAACCATTTACTCAAGTGAGTTACATATCTAGAATATGTAGAGAATTTGTGAACAGATAATAAATGCTAATATTTTACTGTTATGAAAAATCAGTAGACTTAAGAAGTTAGTATTCTGAAGCATTGGTATCACTATAAAACAGTAATCAGGCATTTTTGTTTTTCGATGATCCCTTGGTAGCTGATTCCATTTGTAATAAATGCTACCTACAAACTAGAGCTAGATGAAAATACAGTGAAAGTAAACTTTACACATCACTGTTTACCTCTCTACTGATGATAATAATGCACTTTTAAAACTATGCTTTCATTATTTTATATTTTTGTTTGAAAGGCTGCTCTAATCTTATTTGGAAATAGGCATTTTATCTGTCCCATTTTCATTCTTCTGTTTCTTCATATCACATATACTCGCCTCTTTATTATATCCCAGGAATTGGCAGCTACAAATGTGTTTTTCTTTTTTTTGCTTCATTGATTGTAAAATGCACCTCAAGCCTACAAACAGAATTAGAGAAACTATTGGGCGTAGGCGTAAATGGGCACAAAGAAGATGACCGAATAAGCATCTGACCTATAAAAAAACCTAGGCCGTTGAGGCATGAAAGATAGGAGATTAGTGTGCTTTTTTGGAAGTCTATACGATGAAAGGAAGTTTAAAATAAATCGATTGAACAACAGTTGGACATAAGTCTGCTAGTTGTGTGCACTCTAAAACAGGCATACTAAGAGTAGGGCAAAAGGGATTGAAAGATTACAGGAACTGTTCATGCACATTTATGTGCATTCCTATATGTTTGTTTATCCATTACTACCTTGATTGTGTGTGTAGGTGTGTTCTGGTATCTTAGGTATGAGAAAACGAGCACATATCTATTGACCTAAACTTAGGGTAATGCCGCACTGAGTACCACCGAAACAAGTCTAGTGTGTTAACAATAAAAATTGTTGTGTTGTTGTAAGCCCTCAGAGATTGCCATCCCACTCACTATTTCAGGTCAGAGATTGAATTCAGTGAAATTTAACTGAAACGGATGTACACTAAACCTACACACATACAAGTATGGATAGATTAAATGAGTTAAGCACGTCTAGACGCTGGGAAAGTGGGAGGAATATGAGGCACAAATAAATGCATTCGCACAAAAACAGAGATTTCATCTAAACATACGTGATTCAGCGTAAGAACATACTTTTTATTAGATTGGCACCCTGTAGCTAACCTAACGTGTTCACAAAGGACCACATACAAACAGTCTGGTGGTCTCAACAATTATCAGAGTGCCTATAAAATGCCTTTAGATTTTGGGGTCATGACTGATATGGTATGTGAGATTACTCACCATCTGTTTTGCTCATTCAAATACAGAAATATATTTTCAAGCACCAACAGTGTATGATTGATAGCGACAGACAAAATTTTGTTGCTAAGCCGTGAGATATTCCAGACAAACAGTCAACTAGTCAGATTTACAGGAGGAAATTTTTTAACTCAATCTGCGGATAAGACCAATGAAGTTGAAATCAAATCAAATAACACTGTAGTTTCAAAGGATAGATTGATTTACATTTGCATACTTAGAGTTACTCCAACGGCCACCCTAGCAACTGCTGAAATAACCAATTAGGTTTCTTTGTTTAGGTTGGGAAGATAGTTTTTCATAAATATCTAATTAAAAAGGTTATTTCAATGGGTGCTAAAGTGGTCTTTATAGACATCCCATATCTATAACTGAAGTGTTATCTATTCTTTGTTAGACAATAGAAGAAGCATTGCGTTTATGTTCAAAGATTATTTTTCTGAAAAATTTCGAATTAAAGGTGAAAAATCAGTTGTTACTGTTCACTGTCAATAAAATTTCAGTTTTTAAAATTCTAAAATTTCATTGATGAAACATACCTGTGAATAACTCAAACCGGATATATTTGCCAGTTCCTTAGTATCATCAGTAGACGGGTAAGGTTTTGCTTGATGCAACTGATACCACTCAGTTAATATTCGGTTCTGGGTTGGTGTAAAGTTCTGTCGATGTGGACGTAATTGTTGTTGATTATTTGGATCGTTTAAACGATGATAAACCACGCCTACCACCTGACGAGCTTGCACCACTTGTTCTAGCTGAACCTGAGAACCGTTTATTACTAGATCCGGTAACAAGCTGCATGAAATGTCAGTTTTTAGAATAGTTTCACCTTTCTGGTCTGATTTGCTTGGAGATTCTGAATCTCCACTAGTTTTGTCGCAAATCCTATCATTCTGTTTAGAACATAAATGTTGTGGACCACTATGGACTGAGCATGTTTCATCTTGTTCTGCTTCCCACTCTTCATCCATTTGATCTTCATAATTCGAACCCGTTTCAAGCTCACTTGTATGATTTAAGTCCGTCTCACTTGTTATACCTCGAGTTGAGTCGTTAACTTGTGTTTCGGTTTGATCATTTTCTAATGTATGAGAGTAAGTGGCATTATTAAAACAGTTAGATAAACTGGCAGATGTCAAAATAGTAGATACTGTTGATGATGCATCTGCAACACGCAACTGGAGAGCAGCACGTGGATCCAAAAGACCAATTACTGGAGTACTTGTACCAATATGTCTTCCACCAGCATTCGATGTTTTAAGATTAGCCAAGGCAATCTGGTTTACAGCATTCTGTATGGCGCCCGGTCTTTGGATATTTTGAGCAGCAGCAGCGGCAGCAGCAGCGAATAACGCTTGTTGAGGATCTAAAAGACTGATTGCTCCACTAGGTAAACTAGCTGCTCCCAATAAAGTACCACCACACACACTTACATTAGTGCTGATGGACCCGTTGTTTGCCATAGGTAATACATTGGTTCCTGTTGATGTTGTGAGACTATTCAATAAACGTGCTGCGTTTGCTGAAGTCAGTGTCACACTGGATTGCATGGGAGATTTGTTCCCTGAAATAAAGTTAATTAAGGCTGGGTTGCCCACAACTGTGTGTCCTAAATGTCCAGAATTGCCATGTAAGCTAGCTACATTACCAGAAAGAACTCCCGTCAAAGAGATACCTAGAAAACAATGGAAAATAAATGAAAACAGTATGTTATGACAAAAATATCACTTCATCAGAGGAAACAACAAAATAATATGTCAGCATCATATGGGGAAGAGGAGTTAGCTTTTTGGCTTTGAAAACTTATCAATTAGAACAAGTTACTAATACCGTTGATCACAAGTGTAAATATAACATCAACACTGAATTATGCGTTTACCTTACAAGAGTCAAACATGAGTTCTTATTCACAATTACAAAATGAAGACACCAGAACAAACAATCACTTCATTAGCATCTTAAGTATATTCATAAATGTGAAATCTGTCACAAGAGGTAGAGAAATGAATATATATACTTCGAATAGTATAAATCCTATAGTCAATAAATCCGTTCTCCATTACTTTTCTCTATCTCCCACTCCAACTTTTGTCCACTATGTTCATTTTACACTACATCGGGTCACAGAATAATTGAGCACCCAATCAAATTCATATTCTTATTTCTAGATAAAAATGCTAATTTTACTCAGATTTAGGCGAGAATTGAGTTGATTTGTTAAGAACTCGATGACAAAGAGTAAAACACCTCATATAATGACTGAATTGGTAAACCAAGTGTAATACAAATAATAAGGATAATGTGTCTAATCATAAACACATAGTAAAGTCTGTCTTGAATTAACGACGGAACAGATATTTCATAGTTTCTTATGTTCTTTTTGAGATGCTCAACAACAACAACAACAACAACAACAACAACAAAGAGCAATACATAAAGTATATAAGGATGTTACCGTGGGTAACTAGTGAATGACATTTTATTGTTAGGTGCAATAAGTAAGTACTAGAGCCCAATTTTAGTGGGAAATGTACTCTGGTACCCTGTCCTGTCTGAAACCTATTGAAAAAGAAACCCATTACTATTTACCACTTTTTTCCAGAATACATCTGCCATACAGGTAGTTGATGATAGCCTGGTTAAACTTTTAGTGTTTGAGGATTTACAGGCGTAATCACTGATTACTTCACGATTTATCCACAGGTCCAATTAGTTTTTAGCTTTCATATACTTGATCAATCCAATATCACCCGTAGTTTTTCAATATTCATTACTGGTGGCTAGCATTTTCTTAGGGTGGTAGTTATATATGGGTTCTAGGTACGTTAACTAGCGAGCAATAGCTAGGACCTTCAGGTTTCACAGGAAGTATATTGATATTGGACCACCAGTTTGGAATTCATTTATCTTCATTTTTCAACCCAAATATTTTATCATATATAGTGCACATCATCAATGTAATCTATAGTTAGTTGTTCATAAACTGAACTTCATTCAACTAACGGATTATAGGCTTGAGAAAATTGTGTTGGGACAGTGAGTTTTTATAAGAAATGAAAAGTTATTCAATTAGCTGCCTTGTAAACTATCTAAGAAAAGTAATTTACTACATGTTAGTGGATTGTATGGTTTCTGAAAACATGCATTACATTATAAGTTGAATCAGTGGTTCAATAGGTAGTGTTCATCATAAGACGTGAAGATGCTGAATTAACCCCTGGATTTTATCAGACTCAGTTATCCTGGAAGAGAGATTAAGGCTTTAAAATAACACTTAAGTCAATATTGTAGCATTTCAAATACTGCAGTAGAAGCTTATAGTGGTGAACAAAGTGGAGCGAACATTTTCTTATAATGTTTTACTCATACGAGGAGTAAATTAAACGGTAGAAAAATTCTTCTTGTAGGACCTAAATGTCGTGGATTTAGTTGCTGAACAAGTCAGAAATTTCGAGGCAAGGATGAGATAGCTGGTCTATTAATTCTGCTTTCCACATGTTCTTCATCTGATGTCAATCTGACCAGACAATTATTCAGAATTAAAGCGTTTTAAATATATATGTAAACTTAAAACATTTCCAAAGATATTTGGGCACAAATCGAGTGACCCACTTTCTCATTTATCAGAAATGAAAATCATTTGAAAATGGATGCTAAAAGCCTTGCTCTGTCAAATAATAATGCACCTTTACAATGTGAACCACTTAGCTTCCACACTTATCATGGAATCCTGAGGGATTTATTTCTAAGTCCCTGGGTTTTGAAGCAAGCTTTCCAGCATCTTTATATTCCAAACAAGTAATTCACTGGTTTACACTAAACATCTCCGATACACAACATTTTACGATGAGTACACTGAAATATGGATGATGATAAGTGAACTACGTGAAAGTTCCACTCATTAGTCTCAAAGTACTAATAATTCGGTAGTGTACTTGGATGGGTTCACTTCATTTCATACTGACTTCAACCTTGTTTTAAAGTACTGTGAAGAGTTAAAATAGAATACTTGTCAGTAATAACGTTTTTTATTTAAAATTTTTTAAAAACAAAATCACTTACATTCCCCTGGTGGCACCGTAATACCTTTGATACTTGAATTAATGGTCCCCAAATTCTTTGACGCTGATGGACTATATGTTGTGCTGTTGTTCACTAAACCTGATGCTCCAGAGAGGGTAAAGCCACATACACTCGTTAAGTTATTTAAGCCAGGAACTAATGAAGTACTTCCAGCCTCTGAAGCAGTTACAGATCCTGACATAGTTAAGTTTGAAGTAGGAATCGGAGTATTTATCAATACGCCTGTATTTGAAGAAGATACTGTAGGCGTTGTATGGTTTATGATTTGTTGAAATGAAAGGTTTGGAGTATTTAGCGATGATAAAGCATTGGTACATGTGGGTGTCACCGACAAGGATGACCCTGATACTGTTGAGTTGGCTGGTACAGAAATCGAAACAGAGGAGGCGTTCACCAGCGCAGCCATAATTGCTTGTAACTGGGTTAAACTTACGACGTGAGAAGACGTAGACGGTGAATTCGCCAATGCACCGGTTGAAATAGTAGTCTGAACGGATTTATTATCTACACCTGTGAAAGTTAGTGGTTCTGAATTTCGAACACTTGATACCATACTAGAGTTCGTCATCGGTTTCTTAATATTCGTAGCATTATTATGACATTCAGTTTGACAATTCACATTTTGGTTAAGTTTATCGGCGGAATGATCTGAATTAATGACCGTTTCATTCACACTCGGTAAGCTAGATATGGTGTTTGTAAGAGCAGTTAGACAATGTGCTGGATTCGGAACAAACTGGACACTGGAACTTCAATGGACTGTATTAAACGTTGTTTTAAGCCACCTTTAAGAGCTGCGTTTATCACATCAGCAACATTATTTACAACACTGAATGTAGGTTGTTCAAGTGTATTCGTTTCTTTATATGATGAGTCATTAACATCAATCCCGGTAAACAGATTTATACTTTTATCATCAGATTTTATCAAACTTGACATTCCTAGAAGAGAATTAGAGTGTTCAGATGGCATAGTTATTGACCGCACCTATTTATTAAATAGAGAAAAGTAATATAGTTTTATTCGTAAGTAAAAATTGTAGTCTGAAGCAGTAAACCTTTGAAATATTTAAGACCATTATGAGAACTTAAGTGAAAACAAATATTTTTGCTCAATTCGCTGTTTTGTAAATCCCGCTAGACTTTTTCTCTAACGAGTAATAAATGTCTAAAGACTATTATAGAAATTAGAAAATACGCATACTTGTGTGAATAACTACCCAGTTCAGTGCGAAGGGTTCATCTGAAAAACCAGAGTATACTAGAGGTATGAAAAAATGCAGTATTTTCAATGACATCCATTTGAGTATTATCAACTCAACCTACTAAAGTGAAGTGTTACAAAAAACTGAAAGTTGTACTCATGTATGCATTTGTACAAAAGATGCTATTTGATTGGTATAAAGTGTGATATAGAAAAAAATTTTAAAATTTACAACAAATGAATCATTGAATAATTTTCATACCAAAACAACTAGATTCAAAGTGGTTTCATATCGTAATACGACAGTCAATAGTAACAGTGAACGTAGCAATACTGCCTAACGGTTCAAATTACCACAATTGTCATTATCAAAAGTCAACAAGATTAAAAATGGAGAAATAGGAAAAGGTGTAATCAAACTTTGTAAATAGCTCTAAGGAAAGAGGAAAAGGGTAAAAACAATAGCGAGATATAATATGACGACTAAAGTGAAGGTAACCGAACACCTGAAGACTTCTCATGTGCACAACCTTTGTTGGTTATATTTCACACGCAATAAAAAGCCCCCAAAGAGTCAGTGTACATATGCAGGATATAATATATGTGGAAATGTTCGGCACCTTTACCATATTCTATCTAACATGTCATGTTAGTAGGAAATTTTACTCCATTCACTGATTTTCTTTTCAACACATACTACGATACTTTTACTGCTTTCTGCACTGAATAATTCAACCAGCTAAGTGATAAAAATGCAGTAACAGTTTTATTTCTACCTGGTTACGAACAAAAATATTTCGAAGACAAAAATAAAAAGGAGCACTCATTAGTTTAGAGTACATAAATCAATGAGGTTGAATGTGTCAATAGAAAGCTGAGCATTTCATTCAGGCAGATCACGTCTAAACTTGCTTTCCAGCTAAGTCTAACTGTAGTTGCTAAGATGCTGAAAGTTTGAGCAACTGACTTAGATACCTGTTTATGTGTTAAGTGTAAACGAAGAAACTCTTAGTGGATCCTTTTTACAAAAACTACACTTTAGTTAATTTAAAACTGTGATCTACTATGGTCATCATGTGTCATGGATGTGAAAAAATATGGTCATTTCTATATGCGGGTATTTGGCGCCAGTATACCATTAGTGATCAAAACATACTTATATGCTAAAGAACCTCTGAATTTAGAAGATAGTTCAGTGTTGTTAGCATGTATACAATCATCAATTTCTAATGGAAGGTCGTCTATAGGCATGAATGAGGTCAACGGGGTATAATGGCTTTTAGTAGTAACAGAGATACTAGAAGTAATGATAATTACTGTGAGTAGTCCAAATGCATATATACATACAGACATACATACCTTCACACACGCATACATACATATATGAACACTAAGTGATTCAACTTTCTGATCGTAAGTAAACGCTAAGCACTATAAATCACAGTCTAATACTATTTGCATGAATCTACGGGTAATATATTTACATATTTCAGTAACTAAATAATGAGTAGAACCAGTTTCTGCTCTGATTATAAGTACATTTTCCCCATAATTTCAAATTCATTATAGCATATTAAGGAAGATTCACAAAGAATACGATGAAATTATTTATTGTGACCAGCGCTCTTTGTGCAGATTTGTCTCTCACTTATTATTTACGAGCGTAGAGTGATTTACAGAATAGAAATGAATAAAATAATTTTTCATTAAACTTCAAACCCTCTAAATACTTTACAAATAAGTCAATTTTAAGGTTAACTAAAGTTGGATTCCCATCTTAAAACAATAAGTGAAAAGAGTGAAAGTATTGGAAAGAGCATACAAATGGTGGGAAAACATCCAAACAAATAAATAACCTTTTGATGATAGTCTCCATTTTCTATTTTCTCATTCCTTTCTCTTTAGAACTCAACGAAGTGATAGGGTGTTTAGGTTCTTTTATATAATAAAAAGCGAAAATAGTAGTAGACTAACAGTATAGGACAACGGAAAAACGTGTATACCATGTTCTCTAAGTCTAGACGCACCTTTACTACTCTCATACTAAGTGGGAAATCCATTTGACAAATTTAGCCCTTACAAGATTGGATTTGTGCAGGGTACATAGGAGTCAATATCATCAATGTAGTGACTCCGTAAAATTAAAAAAGTAGACATTACTAAGTTGGTGTGGTTAATAGTCAAATAATTTCAGATAGTTCATAACATTACCAAGTAGAAATAACTACGTTTAAAAAACTCTACTTCTAAGGTTTAGAAAACTTTCCTGGAAGATATGTAAACTTAATTCCTGTAATGGTAACTCCAGATTAACAGAATATCGATAGTGTCTTATAGCTGATCCGCATCTTCAAAACATATCAACTATTGGTTTGTGCTCTTATTGCACATAAGAGGCTGACTGAAGACAGTCGATCATAATACCTGCATATGGCTGCCTAGTTGATCCTTTAATACATAAATGATCCTATTTTTATTTTATCAGCTTGCCAACTTTCTCCTGCTTGCATACTACCAATTGTCAGAACCTATATCACGATATTTCGCTTGAATTGAATCTTATGAATAAGGAATATGGTATGTCGTGCATTCAGTTATACATAAACCTCTATCTCTTTAATGATGGATTAGGAGTTGACTTAATCATCTGTCGTCTAAGCATTTCTTACGATGTAAAACATAATGTTCTTAAATAGTTTATCTACCGTATCAACCTTTTTCAAAATTTAAAAGGTTGTTACAGCCGTTAATCACTGAAATACTGGATTTTTAGCTTAATAGGTTTAGAGAAAACGTGTTATTACGATAAAAATGGTTGTCTTTGATAAGTTTTCTACTTTTCGCATTCTAGACAGACAAAGTAACAATAACTACGATCACTTTACGTATATTAACGCTTTTAGTTGATTTTTATAACGATATGGTGAAATCCAGAATAAATTCGAGTCATTTATTCTGTTTATTTCTATATGGGTTAATATGCAATACGATAAGCCTTCATGAAATACAGGGGACTGGCAACGTAGTACATGCAGCTGTTAACAGATACTGTGTCAATCGGTAACATCTTATGATTTACATGACTTTCTATTACCAGTCAGTAATGTTACATTTTTCTCTCTCTGGGTTTCACGGGTTGTAATCTGAAATGAAAATTAGTCTCAATATTTAGCAAATATCTTTATTCACCGCTGTTTTCAAGCCCTTGCTAACTTTTAATAACGACATTTAGTGAATGATAGAGAGGTTCGTTTGATGGAATAGATGAAGAAGGACGAAATAAGGGAGACAAAGAGCAGCTATTAGGAATTCGGGTATTTCCTGAGGCGAATAGAAAGATTAAACATTACTTTTTCTAAGCCACTATTTAAGTCATGTATGGTAAAACTGCCGAGACTATATCTTCTTGGTTGTACATGATGCTGAACAGCTCACAACTTTCATGTTGTCGCCACACTATGATCGAATAGTGACTATTCCCAAAGCTCACCTACATGAATGTCAAGAAATCAAACAAATGTCTAAGTAAACTTTGGAGGGTTGCTATGCAAATAGACATAGCAAGCTGATCCAACAAATAAACGATATGAGACTGCAACTATATACAAATAACAAATTATACATGTTGTTAAAGGGCCAGTTCCCTTGAGTAAGTAGCCTATTGGATGACATTCGATCGTCTGACGTGATGCTTACAGAATTCGAATTTCAGTGGGATAACTCCACTTAGTATAAAAGTAAAACTTGGGCAATTTGATAGAGCATAATTCCATGTTAGATTGTTTATTTGGTCTCACTTTTACATGAATATGAGCAAAAAATTGTGATGGAAACGTCATCCAGTAAATAATACTGAATCGCGTATGCCATATAACTAGAATAACGTCACTTATTGAGATACAGGTACAGTCAGTCGATGAACCTTAAATGATACGAAGCATGGGTCATGGATCCCACTGTTACACATCACTGATAAAATAATATCAACTGAAACTTTTATGAGGGTATCATGGACTAATGAGAAATGTTAGTTCTGGACAGACTTAGTGTTACTATCTGCTTATAAAATGGTTAAGTTCGTCGCTTTGGTTTTCTTCAGCAAATAAAGAGGTGTATTCTCAGTAAATCAGAATTAAACGACAGACTGGTAATATACAAGCAAACCGAGTTATTTATAAAAAGGAAACAGATCGAACCTAAGCACATTCTAGTAGGAAGGAAATGATATTTAATCAATACTCATTTCACTTGTTCTTCTGCTTTCAAAAATATGAACAACTAGATGAAGGTGAAAAACAGATTTCTTCTGCTTGCACATACTAGCGTTAAAGACAGGCAGTATAAGGAAGATATAAGGAGAGGAAACAGTATAGTTTATGTATAGAAAGAGGAAGAGAAATGGGGGTAGAAGACAGAAAGTGGAAAGGAAAAACCAGAGTTAAGCATTCCTCAGTAATAAACGGTTAAGACACATTTGCTATGAAATTAGTTCGATTGGACTCTGTCATCTAAAATGAACAGCAGGCTGTAAAAGCATCTAAGGCATAAAACTGACTTGCTTCTGACCTAAAAATATGAGATTATCAGTGTATGTGAACAGCACCAACACACAAGTGATTTGAATGTCTGTGCATCAATACAAAATATGGGATAGCAAAGTTAGTGAATTTAAGTGTAGAAATGCAACTCGTTTCCTAAAAGAACAAAAAGTCCACTCAGTATGTGCGAAATCAAACATTTATGTGTGCACACAAACGCATGAATGCATAAACATATGTGTATGC